TGTGTGTGTGTGTGTGTGTGTGTGTGTGTGTGTGTGTGTGTGTGTGTGTGTGTGTGTGTGTGTGTGTGTGTGTGTGTGTGTGTGTGTGTGTGTGTGTGTGTGTGTGTGTGTGTGTGTGTGTGTGTGTGTGTGTGTGTGTGTGTGTGTGTGTGTGTGTGTGTGTGTGTGTGTGTGTGTGTGTGTGTGTGTGTGTGTGTGTGTGTGTGTGTGTGTGTGTGTGTGTGTGTGTGTGTGTGTGTGTGTGTGTGTGTGTGTGTGTGTGTGTGTGTGTGTGTGTGTGTGTGTGTGTGTGTGTGTGTGTGTGTGTGTGTGTGTGTGTGTGTGTGTGTGTGTGTGTGTGTGTGTGTGTGTGTGTGTGTGTGTGTGTGTGTGTGTGTGTGTGTGTGTGTGTGTGTGTGTGTGTGTGTGTGTGTGTGTGTGTGTGTGTGTGTGTGTGTGTGTGTGTGTGTGTGTGTGTGTGTGTGTGTGTGTGTGTGTGTGTGTGTGTGTGTTGTCAAACTATCTTAATCCTCTTACCAGTTTAGATAATAAAGTATTCCCACCACTACTCTCTCTTACCGACACAAACTCTAACCAATTATGTCACTTGTGTTTGATGAACTACCTTACTTTACATGTGACTGATGCTACGTTGAGTCACACCGGTAAAGTATTTAGGTGGACAGTGTGTGTTACTTCATCACCGCTAACGAAGTCGCTGGCTGGCTGGGAGGGGGGGAGGGGAGGGTCTTGTTATTAATTATTTAGTAGCGCAACACCTGGTAAATTAAACTGATCCTCTTATGGTTTATGTATATTAATTTATGGGAATATAAGTTAATTTAATTATTTCATAGTAAATAGACATTGAAAGGTCCTTGGGTGTGTTTCAGTAATGTGCTGATGTCTTGATATGTTGTTTCAGCAGGTGTACTTTGTCAGAACGTCTTATTCTTTATTGTATTTTGTCTTCAGATGTAATAGTTACTTCACTTAGACGTTGAGGAAATGACGCGTTTTCAGAATTATTATCTTCATGATCCAGAGGACTATTTCGGTATTTGTTTTAACTGCTAGGCACATTTTTGGTCCGTTTGTGTTTTGAATCTAACACTCCACTCCACTACACGACACGACGCAACACAACACAACACAACACAACACACACATTTGTTACTTCTCAAGTATCATAAGCTCCCTCCTCGCGTACTATTCCCCCCTTCCCTCCCTCTCTCCCTCCGTGGCACCTCATTCCCCTCCCTCCCTTAGTCACCTCCCCTTCCTCCCTTAGTCACCTCCCCTCCCTCCCTTAGTCACCTCCCTCCCTTAGTCACCTCCCTCCCTTAGTCACCTCCCTCCCTTAGTCACCTCCCTTTCCTCCCTTAGTCACCTCCCTCCCTCCCTTAGTCCCCTCCCTCCCTCAGTCACCTCCCCTCGCCCTCCGTGGCATCTCCAAGCTGTGTCTCCGTCAAAGTCTAGCAGTGGAGAAAAAGGGGGAGACTGAACTGACACCTCGCAAACTTGGTCATATTTTTGTTTTAAAAGTTTGTCCCAGTTTTAACACGAAAATGGTTAGAAAGTTGGTTAATAATTTTTGTTGGTATTAATTTATCTTGCCAAGTTTTCATTAACGGTGATGGAAGAGGAGGAGGAGTGTGTGTGTGTGTGTGTGTGTGTGTGTGTGTGTGTGTGTGTGTGTTAGTATATAAGTTTAAGAATACATATTATGTGTAGGCCTATATGTGTACTGTATTATAGGGAATGTAGGGTTAACTTGGGTGGCGTCGGGAATACATTATGTAGATGTATTATTAGGGTCTCTCTCTCTCTCTCTCTCTCTCTCTCTCTCTCTCTCTCATTTTTGTTTCGGTTACAACTCTTCTGTTTCCCGACTGTGTTTCATTTGCTTTTATTTATCTTCCTCTTCTTGTTTCTCGTCGTCTTGTGCGTTTTTATTCGTTTTTATTGTTGTGTGTTCTCTCGTCTCGTCTTCGCTTCTTTTTTTTCATTTTTTCATTTCCCGCTTCGTCGAATTTATTCTTTTTCTTGCCTTCGTTTTCTTTTCCTTGTTCATCATTTTTTGTCCTTTGTTCAATTTTCCGTCTATTTATACTCTGGTCGAGATCTATTATGTGTCTGTGTGTCTGTCCGTCCACCTGCCTGTCTGCCTGCCTGTCAACATTTTTGTTCCGAAACCGTAATTGGAGGTTCACTGTACCGGTGTTGATTAACAAGATACTGATATAGGGATCATGTTCTTTTATGTCATTCGGGGTCAGGGTCAAAGGTCAAGGTCATTGGGTCAAAGTTCAAGTTCACTGGGTCATGAAGGTCACTGGTTCCATTTAACTGGTCCCTTAGGCGTGAGAATTATGGGCCTTTGTTGACATTCTGTTACGTGTTTCTTCTGCTTCGTTCTTTTGCTGTTACCGTTTTTTCTCTTTCTCTCTCCTCTCTCCATGCTTTTTGTCCTCCCTCTGTCCTTACAACGCCATCCGTAGGTCACCTGTACTATTGACCATCATGGCAGCATTAAACATGAACTTAAACATGTAAGTTGGTGACTAATTCATCGCCACCACTTAAGAAATATATCACTTCAACTTACATTTATTTGTGCTTAGGTTAGGTTTCGTTAGGTTACTTCTGCTGTACCCGATTCACCTGCCTACAGTTCTCTGGTTCTTCCTTATCCCTGCCCTTCCTCCCTCCTCTTCTCCATCCTTACCTCAACTTCTCTCTCCTTCCCTCATCTTCTCTCTCCTTCCCCCATCTTCTCTCTCCTTCCCTCACCTTCTCTCTCCTTCCCTCACCTTCTCTCTCCTTCCCTCATCTTCTCTCTCCTTTCCTCACCTTCTCTCTCCTTCCCTCATCTTCTCTCTCCTTCCCTCATCTTCTCTCTCCTTCTCTCACCTTCTCTCTCCTTCCCTCATCTTCTCTCTCCTTCCCTCATCTTCTCTCTCCTTCTCTCACCTTCTCTCTCCTTCCTTCACCTTCTCTCTCCTTCCCTCACCTTCTCTCTCTTACTCTCTCCTTTCACCCAACACCCCCCCTCGTCGCAGATGACATTACTCCTAGTGGCTGTTGGGTAGTGGAGGATAACATCTTCCTGTTGCTGGGTGTGTTGTGAGCCACATAATGTTACCCGGATACATGTCATCTCTGGCTGCCTGGGTGATTTATTGTTGCTTACGAGTGTTGATAATGACCATGGGAATGTTTTAACGTATGTTGCCTGTATGGATGTATGGCTGTGTATATGTTGTGATGAATGTATACAAGCAAGCAGGTATATGGAGGTGGGTAAGTGAATCGTGGTAGTGCAAATTATGAAAACAAAAATTTTCTCGAATTTGTGTATATATATATATATATATATATATATATATATATATATATATATATATATATATATATATATATATATATATATATATATATATATATATATATACGTGTGACATATATGTGATAGATTCTCTTATAAAGATCCATGTCCTGTCCATGTACTGAAGAATCATGTAAAAAAAATAATTGGTGTCCATTTAAGGTTAATCAAAAGTGAAATTAGTAGTGTAAAGTGATATAGAAAGTGAAAGAAAAATAATAGTCTACAAATAATTTGAAAAAGTTAGATAGAAAATATAGCGAAATATACCCCTGGAAAAAAGGGTATAGTCTGAGAGTGGTTGGCGCGGTGCCTCTCGCGTGACCCGGAAGGTAGCCAGCAGGGGAAAAAAATGTATATTTGATCTGGTGGGCGTGAAGAAAGGTGAGATCCTCCGGTGGGCGCAGAGGCAACTGAAGGACCTCGTAAACCTTAAACTTTTGGTTACTGGACGTTGAGGGGGGGTTGTTTTGCCTGGACGTGGGACACCCAAGAGTTGTGACCGACCATGTGGCACCAACCCCAGCAGCGGACTGGCACTCTGGAGCACCGCTACAATGTAAGTTGATCTGTAGGGTGCCACTCTCTTGTCCGTCTGTCTGTCTGTTTGGTGGGACAAAGACCTGTCCGGTTAGCAAGGAGTAAAGTGGCACAGCTATGCTTTAAGTTTTCTGGTGGTATATTTTATCCATCTGTCTCTGTGTCTTCGGTTCTGTCTGTGTGACGGGGCCAGCGAGGAGTAGTGAGGTGGTACTGGCAGTCTCTCTGTCTTATCTGTCCGTCTGGCTGCTTAAAGAAAGTCATTTATTTATCTTCCTCTGTCTTTCACTTCATCTATTATCATCCAGCTTAATCTCTCTATCTCTCTGTTTATCTGTTTCACTTCAGCATATTTTCTAATACAATATTTAAAGTTCATCTGAGTAAAGGGAAAACATGAAGTCACCATTTTTCATTTTTTTTTGGTTAGTGGAGAAAAGAAATTGTCTTTTACCGTGAATGAGCAAAGTTTGATACAGAGGGAGGTGGAAGTTTTGTCGTCCAGGATGGCTGACGCAATTTTGCTTCACAGGTTCTGAAAGATGACGCAATTTTGCTTGAAAGGTTCTGAAAATGATGTAATCTTGCTTCACAGGGTCTAGAGGACGACTCAATCATGTTTCACAGAAGTATGATGGTTAACGTATTTGTGTTTCATTGGTGACCTTGAGGGCGATGTAGTCTTGCGTTATTGAAGACCTTATGTGCTTAAATAGTCTTATTTCACTGAGGGCCTAGTTGCTTCACTAAAGGACTGGTGGTGATTGAGGCAACCTTGCTTCTCAGAATGACTAGTTTAGCAGAACGATATAGGAGAAGTGTGTTCCCGGTAACTGATGGGACACACACACACGCACACACACACACACACACACACATCTCTAAATTGTATCCGACAGAGCCTATTGTTATTGTTCATCAGTGCGAGTTTAATTTATTTCAGATTTAGGTGAAAAAAAATATTTATTGAATTGCCAAAGTACGTCAATGGCCAGGTAAGATTTGTGAGGTAATTGGATTGCAGTTTTACTCCACCTGAATAATAGCACTTCAATTATTTATTTTTATTGAATATACACTAAAAAAAAATGTAAGGCTTAACTGTTTTAATATCTTGATTGTAATATTTTATCACTCGTGGAAATTCGTGTTCTGGACGTGTTGTGATTGTGTTCGGTTTTCACTCATGAGATTGACACTAAAGTATATCGGTGTAATGAGTAGTTTTCCATTTACCTAAGTTGGAACTCGAGTACTCAAATAGATTATATATTACCTGTTATGAACGTCCAGGTAATCAGCTGAGAGTTCACACCTTTACGTCCCAGCTCATTTTCATTTCCTCATTTAAGTGCCTAACAGTGAGGGATTTGTATTACCCTGCATGAAGGAGTGAGTCTTTATCATTTCATTCTAAAACTCATCATCATCATCATCATCATCATCATCATCATCATCATAGCATTTATATATCACCATTTGTACTGTGTTGAAGACTTAGGTAATAATAAGTTGCTTCCCAATTGGCTTAAATATTTTAGTGTTTTGTAATATTTTGTCTAGTCCAGGTGAGCGAAGGCATTGAGAGCTGCAGAGTGCGAGGGGGAAGGCTGGACAGACAGACAGACAGACAGACAGACAGGTGTAACTAAATGAATATACTAACCTAGCATACACAGGGACGGGGAGGGGGGCATAAACAGCTTGTAGTTAGCTGTACGGAAATGGCAATTGCGGTAATTTTCTGTTGACTCATGTGATTGTTGTCGACTCTTGTGACTGGTGACTCATGTGACTGGTGACTTATGTGACTGGTGACTCGTGTGACTGGTGACTTATGTGACTGGTGACTCGTGTGACTGGTGACTTATGTGACTGGTGACTCGTGTGACTAGTGACTCATGACATACAATTACACGTGACTCATGACATACAATTACAAACTGACAGAAGGTCGTCTTACAACACACACACACACACACTACCTTCCTACCTGTCGTGGGTGGTAATAGGTACTAATTCAAGTATAATTCCCCCCCCATCAAAGGTGATATTGGGCGTAGGTAGTTTGATCTGTGGTAACTTGGCGCTCTTGGTGGTCTAAGAGGATTAAAGCATTACGAAGGTTCACTCTCGTTTATTGACGTGTTTTGTGAGGCTCAGTATTACAGGTGTCTTGGTATGTTGGCGCCAGGTGGTGAGAGGGATGATGGGAAGGGGTGATTCATTCTTTCTTTCTTTGTCGTCTCAACTTGTCTTGAATAATTTTTCTGCTTCTCTTCCTCCCGCCTCCTTTTGATAATCTTCTTCATCCTATTTACTTTTCCTCCTCGTCTCTCTCTCTCTCTCTCTCTCTCTCTCTCATCCTCCTCCTCCTCCTCCTCCTCCTCCTCCTCCTCCTCCTCCTCTTCCTCCCCCTCTCTTCCACTTACATCACCACCGTGGCCCACACCTCCTCCTCCTCCTCTTCCTCCATCGTGGCAGCTTATCACAGTGATGGGGTTGGCCATTAAGGATCAAATTCCCATCATTTTTTGCATATCTCTAGTCTTTGCATAATAACTATTTACACCAGCCAAATATGGTGAAATTAACTATGTCATTTAAAGTGTGACACAAACTTTGGGGAGGTCTTTTGGCTTTGAAATTACTCTCAGTGATTTTTGCAATAACGTACGTGTGTGTGTGTGTGTGTGTGTGTGTGTGTGTGTGTGTGTGTGTGTGTGTGTGTGTGTGTGTGATGGCGTCAGGGTCTCAAGTTTCAGTATCCGGCCGCAAGTTTAGCTGAATCCCGCCTTATAGAACTATTTAATCAACTCTAGCTCCTGGTATGCTTTTGGTATATATTATTCTAACACTATAAGTCATACGAGAGATATTGTCCCAGAATATACTCGGTGTTTAGATAAAAAAAAAAAGAGGTTAAGTTTTCCGTCAGAGTGATTTCCGGTGTAATTTCTGAGGGTCTTGGTAGTGGAGAGAGAGAGAGAGAGAGAGAGAGAGAGAGAGAGAGAGAGAGAGAGAGAGAGAGAGAGAGAGAGAGAGAGAGAGAGAGAGAGAGACTGGTGTTCTCTTAGATCTCAAACTTTTTTTTTTAGACTTTGTTTTTACGAAGTTAACCTACACCCTAAGAAACTTTTAAGTAGATGGCGTCGTCGTCTTCACTAGGATACTTAACTTACCTGCCTTTCCGAGAAGATTAATTTGTCTTTTATTTTTTTTCCGTGTAGTTAGAGCTAATGTTTTGAAGTAGGGAATCCAATCATCCGTAGAAAATTAAGTCCTTACTCGAGAAGGAGGGAGGGAGGGAGGGAGGGAGGGGATGGAAGGAGGGAGGGAGGTATATGGTGGGGGGTTGTGGTGTTCATAAAGGATATATTTGACATCCATGACTCAGGTTCTCAAATGTTTTTTCCCTCGTTAAATTTTTTACGTGATTAGACATGTTTTGAGGCTTTTAAGTGAATGACCTTAAGTTGAAACAATACGATAGTCTCTCTCTCTATCTCTCTCTCTCTCTCTCTCTCTCTCTTTCTCTCTCTCTCTCTCTTCACGGTAATGTCTCGTTCAGGATTCGGTGGCACCAGGAGTCTCGTTCGTTTAAGTGAATGTATTACCTTACACAGCGAGGTGCTCCGTGGTACTGGTTTATGTCAGGTCTTGTGGTTGTGGTGTATCTTCCTCTTCCTCCCCTTCTTCATCCGCCTCTTCTTCCCCCCCCCCTCCTCCTCCTCCTTTCCTCTTCCTCCTCCTCCTCCTAGAAAAACCCACACACAGTCAGTTTTTTGTTATATATTGGAAAAACACAGATAGGGGGGGGGAGAGGGTCAGTGTTTGGATGTGGATTGAACTGGATAGGAGGAGGTGAAGGATGGATTAGCGAGGGGGAGGAGGTAGAGGTGCGTGAAGAGTGTCTTTAAGTGGATGTAGTGTAGTTGTAGAGGATCATCGTAGGGATTTGGAGGGATAGGGAGAGGATAGGAGAGATGGAAGGGATATGGATAAGATAAATAGGGGATAGGAGGGAGAGAAGAGGGATAGGAGGGAGAGAAAGAGGGGATAGGAGGGAAAGAAGAAGAGGGGCATGGGTATGAGGAATAGGGGGTAGGAGGAAGAGAAGGGGGAGGGGATAGGAGGGAGAGAAAGATGGATAGGGGGAAGAGAAAGAGAAGAGATTGAAGGTCTATGGGAAGGTTGGGAGTGACAAAGAAGAAGGAAATAGGATAGGATGAAAGGGAACGGATAAAGGAGATATAGTGCGATAAGGAGGGGGAATATGATAGGAGCTATTGGTCTGTCTCTCTCCGCCTATTTTCTTGCTCCTTAATTCCTTTCTTCCTTTTTTCTTTCCTTCTCCATCCCTTGTCCCTCTTTCATTCCCTTTCCTCTTCATCCCTCTTTCCTTCTCCACTCTCCTTCTATCCTTCACTCCTCTCCATCATTCCTTCCTTCACTCTTCCTCCCTCCTTCCCGTGTGGTGTTCGTGGCTCTCCTCCATAAACACGACACAACACACGTCTTTTGCCCGCTTTTCATATACACTGGAAGACTATACAATTTTTCACCCTGACTGCCTGGGGAAGTTTGCCAATTGCCTGTTGTTTGAAGTCTTCCAAGGGAGCGATGGAACTAGTAGTGGTGGTGGTGGGGGTGGTAGTGCTGGTGCTCGGGGCAAAAACTTTTCTGATGGTTGTTGGTAAAAAAAAAAAATTAATTAAGAAATTAATTTACCGGGTGGCGGTCGTCCTGCAAGGCTAATTAAACCGAGATTGATGACGGTGTATAGTGTTCAATGTGTCCGAGAGCAACAATTTTGAGGCCATTGCCGGGGGGAGCTACAGTCGAGAGTGACGTGGAAACGAGAGTAATTCAGACAGACATCCACCCTTGAGCAACACTACATTCACACGGGATATTATAGGTGAGGTGAACGCTTGTACTGGGGGGGAAAACCTCGCAAGGAGAGAGATACAAACTTGCCACACCCATGAACGCGATGACTTGAGTGGAACTTATTTT